GTCCCTCAGTCACTCATCGACCGATCGAACGACCGACGACCAACAACCGACCAACCGACCGTTCGGCTACATTTGCCGGTGTCGCGCGTGAGTCTCGCTTCGCCTCATTCGCCCTCCCGCCCGCCGGCCGGCCGTCCGCACTCAGCAGACTCAGCACCCTGCACCGGCACCGCCATCAGATCAGATCAGATCAGACCAGACCAGACCCACCGCTGCAATGATGCAGTAGTACTCCTCCTTGTTACAGACGGTCGTCTTTGAGTCCATGTTTGTGGGTGCCACAGGTATGTGCCGATTTGCCACTGCCAACGCCACCGGGACGCTGATGCTTCTCGTACCTCTTGCAGTTCCTCACCAGCCCTCGTCCGCAGTCGTCGTCGTCTCCTGCACCGCGTTGCTGCTGATGCTGCTGTTGGACCTGATCCCCGGCGCGTCAGCTCTGACCTGCGAGGCTGTCTGCTACCGCAGCAGCAGAAGCGTGGTGAGTTCGATTTGTTTTTGTGTACGACGTGCATCCTCTTCTTTACCTCCGACAACCTCCGTCGCCATTTTAGAATGAATACGGCACGTGCATGAAGGAATGCGGAAAGAAGAAAAATGTCGTCGTCTCCGGCGCTGCCTCTGCCGCTGCTGCCGCCGCCGCCGTTGCACTGCCATTCCGGAACAAAAGTATGATTGAACTGTGTTGTGTAACCACTTTGCAGTTACCCTTTGCTTTCCTCGGTTAACTGGCCGAAATGAGGTGATGAGAGAAGCGTCGCTGAGTCTTCGTTTACAACAGTCTCTCACAGCACCCATGCGATCGATGGCTGCTTTGCATTTCACTAGCCCAGAAATTTCGAGGTAGTGGTTAGGTCTCAAGAAAAGTCTGTAGCAGTTGGAATGTCCATTTCCCTTATATTTCCACGATTGGGTGCCATTTGTGATACCTTTCCTTCGCGAAGCTCACGGCGCAGCACTTTCCCGTTTTTCGTGTAATCAGCCAGTAGTGTATGGATGTTGTTGTTTATTAAGGATACGTCTGGGTTATCACAGATGTACGTAACCTGTTTCCTTCTCACGTGCTGATACTCGTTTATCTATTTTGGAAGGATGAAAGTCAAGTGAGTACTCATGGGCTGGAACCCAGGACCTATCATCTGAGTTCGACGCTTTACTGAATGAGGCTGAATGGTTTGCTCATTTCTACTATGCTCCGTGTTGCAGCCTCCGACCTGTCAGCCATTACGATGTCCGATTCTTGATGCCTTTAACGATATTTGCCGAGGCGACATCGTCGCATTGTAAACTATCAGTCAATTGTCACGTATTGCGTCCCGAGGGTGCATTGAGGTTAATTATGCTTAATTACTATTCGCCGAAACTTATAATTGATCGAGCATAAACATCTTTAGCGTAAGCAACGCTGTAACATGTGCGCGACTAGAAGGCAGAGAGTTGACAACGAACAGTTTATACTCTATTAAACATCGGTACCACTGGAACGAGGATCACTTTCTCCGTTTTTTACTCGACTGTTACAGTATGGCTACACCGGCTTCGTTTCGTTGGTTTTTTTTCTTCGACGGAACCCTTTCCCGTAATTTTTTCAACACTTTCCAAAGTCTGAAAATACATTCATTTTTACTCATTTACCCATTAATTTTATTATGCTTTTTATGTTCGAAAAGATCACTCAGATCGAGGTGTCCTACTCTGAATAATTGAATTGTCCACCATCATCCTTATTAATCCTCGACAAAAACATTTGTGAAATATTTCCCTTATATGTTTGTTATTTGTTGAATTGACCGTTTGTCGTTTGTATGGAATGGGCGTCTCTGGTTGGAAATTCCGCTGTGTATTCGCAGCTTTACAGCACTTTTATTATAAGGCACCGGTTACGGTATCAGAGAAGGAAATACTCTTCTCCGAAAACAGACCTGCCTCTACCCTGTTCCTCCCTATATCTGGCGTATTTTGACTCACACACACTACAAACTGA